CAAAGGTTTGTGTATGTATATTTGTTTTACGATATTAGATGTATTTGGTTTTACTTGTACATTAGTTCTAGTTTAATTTGGTTTTGTCCTATCTATCTGAATGAGTTTGTTTACGCGGTGCCTCTATTCCCAGACCGCGCAAATCTAACGTTACAGTAACTTTGTCTGTTCTGTAGTATCTACATTGAAGGATACTAATAAAAACGATCATCAATATTTGAAAATTGAATAACTTGTTACCATCACTTATTTTAAGCTCCTTTTTATTCTTCAATCTCTCTTCAAGACATAGTTTATCAAATGAAAATTCTGTCATCACACCTTCATGTTGTTCAGTGATTGTTTTTTCCATGCATTCATACAACATAAAAAAACATGCTCAAGTCTTTTAACTTGAAAAAATGTAATTATTTTCTCTTTTGGATGTAGCCTAGTTTCTTCAGTTGCATAGTGTGAACCTGCTTCATCATGACATCATCAAATCCTCCAAAACCAGCTCTATATTTTGGCCAGGTTGTGATTGGTCCACCTGGCTCAGGTAAAACCACTTACTGCCGGGGCATGCAAGAGTTCCTCAGCCACCTCGGGCGCAAGGTGGTGGTTGTGAACCTGGATCCTGCCAATGAAGGCCTACCCTATCCCTGTGCCGTGGACATATCCGAGCTCGTCACTCTGGACGATGTGATGGATGGTCTAAAACTTGGCCCCAATGGTGGCCTTATCTATTCTATGGAATACTTGGAGGCAAATTTGGACTGGTTAGAGAGCAAGCTGAAGCACCACCACGACTGCTACTTTCTTTTTGACTGCCCAGGTCAGGTGGAACTTTACACTCACCATAATTCGGTGAAGAATATATTTGCACAGTTGTCGAAGTGGAATTTCAGGGTGAGTAGATGGTGAGAACGTTTCCTCTTGTGATTTATTAAGATGTATTTCCTGTCTAATTTCATCTGATATTGGCAGCTGACCGCAGTGCATCTGGTGGATTCCCATTATTGTGCTGATCCGGCCAAGTTCATCTCTGTACTGTGTACTTCCCTGTCCACCATGCTGCATGTTGAATTGCCACATGTCAATGTGCTCTCAAAAATGGACCTCATTGAGCAGTATGGCAAACTTGGTAAGATAATATAGTCCAGACTGATGCAGAAAAGTCTGATTTGTGGATGTACTTTAATTTAATACCAACTCTTTTTTTAATAAGCATTCAGTCTAGACTTCTACACTGAGGTTCTGGACTTGACGTATTTGGTGGAGCATCTCTCCTTAGACCCTTTCTTCAAAAAGTTTCACCACCTGAATGTGAAGTTGGCTGAAGTGATCCAGGACTACAGCTTGGTGTCTTTTGTTCCTCTTAATGTGCAGGTTAGTGCTCACTTTTGTAATTGTAATGCAATGTGTGTGGATTTGTGGCATGATCTTTGACCATTGTTATTTCTCTACAGGATAAGGAAAGCATGACTCAAGTTCTGAGAACTGTGGACAAAGCTAATGGCTACTGCTTTGGAGACCGGGAGGAGAGGAACCTGCAGGCTATGATGTCTGCTGCAGTTGGAGCAGACTTCCAGTTCAGCACGTATCCTTATCATACTGTTTAGTTGTAGGTTTTTGTTGTTGTTATGTTAACACACTTCTATTCATTTCTGCAATCACATTGTTGAATTGTGATTATCCTTAACCATTCGCCTCAGAACTCTTAGTGTACAGGAGAAATACATGGAGGCCACTGGGAAAACTGTGGAGGATGAAGTTATGGATTTGTAACCATTTTTATATTGATTAAAAAAGAAAAACAAAAAAAGCAATTTGCAGAGGTCTTATTTCACACATTCAAACACATTGCAGGCACGCTCAAATTCCACAAATGAGCAAAATAAAAGAAATAATAAATGCGTTTTGTTCCCCACACCGAAATTTGTACATTCACAGAACAGTTGAAATGTTTTGAAATTGAAATTTTACAGTAACACGAATAAAATCATTGTCTTAAACGCTTAAAACAGTCGTTTTAGACACGTGCATTGCAAAATGTTTTCTACATAAGCAATAATAAGACAATTCGTTGTATCAGATGTGACTTTACAAGGTAAACAATACACTATAATTCTTATTTTGTAATAAAGACTTGTTTTGTTTGTTCTGTATCTAAGAAACAATGCTTATTTATCTAAGCAAAGTACTGTTTGTCCACAGTAAAACTAAATCTCATTATTTCATCTCGAGTTGCACTGATAGAAGGAAACTGAGAATGATTGTTTTGGGTTTCGTAGACATGCATCTTAGTGTTTGAGCATGAAAGATTTCATGCGTAAATAGATTCATTAACTTCCTCCTCTGAACAACTTATTGATCAGTGTGTGAGTGCAGTGGAGAGTATCGCCACTAGAGGTCACTATCGTAACGGCTCCGTGTTCACACAATATAGTAGTCGGCGTTTCCTCGTTTATCACTGAATTTTGAAAAACTGCAGTCGCCTAAATTTGAATTGTGTGACCGAATTAGAGACAGTTTACGGCAAATGAAACATTAAAAGAGCTAACAAATGATTGGCGTGCTTAAATGTGTGAAATTGGGGATAATTTAAAAGGGAATCAATTAACGCTGCTGGTTTTTATTATTTGGTACACCCTTGTAAAACGGTACATAAAGGTTCTGGGTTTGTTTTTTCGTTTACACATGTTTTCTTTTCCGCTCTCTTGATACATGGCGCGTAATTTGCTAACTTGTGGCAGATAACCTTTATCGAGCCGGAACACCTTCCCCGTCATGTGTAGTCTGGACCTTGAAAAGGCCTTCTCACTCGCGGAGGAACACGGGAATGCATTGTACACGAAAGGGAGACATGACAACTATGTTAGATAGAGCTCGGTGTTTGTTGAACTTGTCTTTGTGGTCATGCTTTTCTTCCTAATATTAGTTAAATATGATCTAGTCATTTAAGCTTATATGTGAAAGTGCCACAGCATAAATCTCCACAACATTCACCTTAACACATACTTGTGCGAGCCACGGAAGTATTCCGGGAACCAGAAAGAAGTGCTTCGCCTCTTAGCGCACTCGGTTTGAGAATTGGTGAAAACGCGGAATGGATTACGATCATCATATTGCACTCTAAAAACGCTTGTGACAGTAAGATGACTTGGGAACATTTAAATATAACTAAATATGCTGCGATATACGTTTATAGAGCATGTGAAGGTTATAATATTCTTGTAATTAGTGCACAAACATGACTGCGCTATTGCACGGTGTATATGTCATCAGAACCTCATGTGTTAGAGAGCGTTAGCCATGTCAGTTCACAATCCAGTCCACATTTTAGTCGAAGCTGCAGGGTAAAAACAGGAGGCAGACAGGGAATGGAGTTGGCAATGTGAAATCTGTTTCTGCTTTACAGGGTCTGAGTATGTGCAAGCTTGGCACTATATTTGCTCTAGGCATCATTTAGGGTGATAAAAGAAGTTTAGATGTTTTCAGTGTGACAGGAACTACTTGGTGTATGGCTATTATACTCAAAGAAATAGTCAATTGTTTATTTATTCAGTTATTTTCCTCAGTTTCCTTCTATTCAGAGCTATGATTTCATGATATTTGAATTCTGTCGACAAAAGAAATTCAAATACAATAAAGTTGACAGTGACACAAATTGTTGCGAATTTTAGAACAAAGGTGCAATAACAAATTGTGTAATTTGCTGGTTAGGGTTGTAGTATTGAATTTGCCGCAGATATTATACATATATTGAAGGCCACATAAAATCCTTGGAAGTTTCCCTGAAAATGTGAAAAAGTAGGCAATACGATGTGTTTATGTAAGTCGTATGGCATATAGAGTATGGCGTGTAAATATATATATATATATACATACAAGATTTTTTGATGTTTTTTTGTTTTTCAAAATTTTGTTTGAAATTGAACTTCAAGTCAGAGTTTCCGTAGTTTTTCCTCAAGCAAATGATGTCACCATAAACATATAATTTTTATTGTTATAAATGTCACGAGTGTGTGCCAAACACACGATTATGCCCCAGTTATGGTTTCCTATGACTCTCTGGAGTGGTACTTCCTTCCCTAGCACACTTCAGAGAGTAATTTTGTGTGTGTGACGGCTGCCCAGCAACCTGCTGGCTGAGGACCAACTTCCTTGTGTCTGCTCTAGCTACTTTACGGATTCCCATGTGGGGGTGTGTCTGAGAACAAGGGATTGAATGAAACTCTGATTGAATGAAGGTTTCCTCCCTTTACCAGCAGTGTATACATGTGGCTTATTGGCGCACTGAGGGTCATGAAAGGGTTTGAAATGAATACACATGGTTTTGTTTACACAGAAAATGTGCCATACTTTGTACTCTGCCTCATTAAAACTGTTGACAAACAAGGACAGATGAAAGCCATGCTTGTTTGGCTTTCATTTTTTCACTTGGAAATCTCAGCAAAATCATTATATGTCTTCCAGATTTCATTCTCTCTCAGTCATTTTATGCAAGGAGCAGAGTATTTAAAATGATATCATTTCATGCCATTTAGAGAAGGATAACATAAAATCTACAACTATTACATTTTCACTATTTAGCACAATTTATTGGATTTAATGAATTGTTGTCACTACAAACAAATGTTAAGATTTACCATCTAAATATTCACTATGTGGATATTTTACATTACAGTAAATATCACAGTTCAAGACTGATTTGTGTTTTGTATTGATTGGCTTTCTCGTAGCTTAACTAGATCATGATGCTTGCAACACCAAGGTCATGGGTTTGATTCCCACGGAATACTAATACTGCCGAATGTATACATTGAATCAGGGTTATTGTTGTTAACTAAAACCATAGCAAAATATTATCATTACTTGACATAAAATTAATGTCAGCAAAAATTAAATTATTTTCAGCTAGTTACCGAGGCAACATTTATCATTACGGTTAGTCTAGACTGAAGTACCAATTTAACTAAATCTAAATCTTAAAAACATTTTTTTTTTAACGAAACTTTCCAAAAGCCGCAAGCTTCGTGGCTGGACTTGTGTTGTGAGATGAAAACTGTTGCCTATTATTGCTGGAGTTGAAGGTAGATCTCCGATTGAAAATGCGTATTTAGCTCAGGCTGCTTCTCCACCAATAAGGCTTAAACGCATTTAGCTTTTCCCTCATAGGCCTTTCTGTGTGTTATATATGCTTTAACGTTCTGTATATTTATCTAATATGTGATATTTAGCCGGTTGGTGTGTTGTTTGTCAGTTCTGATGTTAATTAGGAGAGTGATTAACATAATATTAGCGGATATTTCAAGTGGAAAAACCCGTCTTGTGTAAACCGATACGCGAGTGTCACTTCTACAGTAGAGAAACATTGTTGATTATCCGCATTTTGGTCGAAAATGTATTTAAACACGCTTTAAAAGGACGTTACTAGTACATTTGATGAGGAAAAGCTTCGTTTTTAAAGCGTGGACTCGATTGAATGTCGGTCTGTGTGCGCGCAGCTTGTAAACACAAGCCCAGTGATTTGAGTAAGTGCAGATTGGTTTGCAGTGGGATTTGAATTGTGGAGGTAAAATCCTCCTGTCAAAGGCAGGAGACAGTTGGTCTTGGGTTGACATGCTCGCTGAGATCTGATTGGCTCTGCATCCTGTGCTCTTGGCCATTTATAATTGCATATGATGTAACACTGAAACACTTGCTGATTAGCTCATGTTGCTCACCTCCCTCACTCTTTCAGTAGTGTATTGTATTGTATATATGAAATAAATGTTGGCCAATGCTCTTAAGATTAATTCTACATATTGGAGAAATAGGAGTGTATTAATTCAATAAGTAAGGGTTATATTCAGAGACTGATACTTTTAACAGAATGTTGTCAGTTGACGTTTTACATGCATTATATATGCACACATAACTATTTATGTAAAAAATGCATATATATATATGTTTAAAAAGATCCTCTTTTTTTATTATGCAGGGGAATAAAATACAAATTTTTGCAGATTTTATTCAAAGAATGTCAATAACGGCAAAATTTGTGACTGGAAACTGGTTTCATGTCACTCATCAACTGGGAACCTTAAGATCGTTTTTGAAGTTTCGGTTATTGAAGACACTTGAGTAGCCTGTGCCTTATTTCTCTAGCCTGTTGGATATTGAGCGAGAAAATCTTTTTGAATTCTCCTTAATTCATGCCAGTTGTTTACAGTATGATGTTATGCACTGTTTCCTGTCTGGTCATTCTCTGCATGCTAAATGCTTGTTCATGTGGTGCCTATCATGACTGTTTGTCTTGGATATGTCCAAACACTTTTAAGTGCAATTTCAAGGTTGAACAGCATCTGTTTACCACAGTTAACTTAGTTTATCATACTAGGTTGAGGCTGCATGTGCTTCAGTTTTGTCGCTGTGCAAACTGTGCATCTGATAAGGGGATTGAAACTCGGTTTGCAAGTTTTCCTTTTGGCCTAGAATTTATTATTTAGATTTTGTTTATTTCAGTTTATTCTTGTTTTAAAGTTTTCTTCATTAATAACTAATATGAGATTGTGAAATGAGAACCTGTGAAAAAAATAGTTTTTATACCAGAATTTCAACCTGTTTTTCTGCCGCTTTCTTAAAATCTGAACATAATTCCTTTTTGTTAGCAAGATTAGGGTCTCTATGGGATTGCTTTTTTAAATGTCTTTTTAATAATAATAATACATTCATTTATATAGCGCTTTTCTAGGCACTCTAAGCGCTTTACATTAAGGGAAGTTCTTGTCGAATTGAAGTATGATCTGTGAGTTTACAGGCAGTGAAGATCTGCAATATTGTCTGATGGTTTGGTCCTTAGAATTTCCATGTCATCTGTATATATGGGCCCAAATATGTCAGGTGTCATCATTAAAATGTGTTGATTGGGTTTTCAAACCATGTGATGCAAGCAATCCCAATAACTGAAACACTTAAGTTTGGGAGAAACTTTTTTTTATGTTTTGTTCACAAAGGTTGCATTTATTTGATCAATATCAGTAGAAACTCTAATATTTATAATTATACTATACAATTTAAAATAACTTTCTGTTTTTATTTAAAAAAGTGATTTAGTCCTGTGATGGCAAAGCTGAATTTTCAGCAGCCATTACTTCAGTCTTCAGTGTCACACGTTCCTTCAAAAATCATTCTAATAAGCTGATATGATGTTCAAGAAACATTTCTTATCGTTGTTGAAAACAGTTGTGTGGCTTTATATTTTTATGGAAATTGTGATACTATGATTGTGATAATATGATTCTGTGATTAAAAAGTTAAAAAGAGCAGCATTTAGATTTTTTTCATGACACTATAAAAGTACTTACTGTCACTTTTGATCAATTTAATGCATCCTTGCTAAATAATAGTATTAATTAAAAAAAACTTGCTGACTCCAAAAAGTAATGTATGTCCTTTAGTTTTTGTACAGAACTTCTTGGTTATTAATTATATTAGCTTAATAGATTCATTTTGATGTAGCTTTGAATTTTCTCCTATAATTACGTTTTATTTAATCTTAGACAGAGTTATGCTTACTGCAGCGTGTGAATGGCGTCCTGCCTTCAGTCTTCTGGTGTCCACCCCATCCCCCATGGCCAATCACAGCGTCCGTCCAGCAGCCTCTCTTGTCAAGGGAGCCCACACTTTATCTTATGCAGATTAGCCATGTGCTGCTTTTATTTATTTTATTTTTCCATTCGGACACTGGAAAATGTCAAGAGCAACTTGTCCTCAGTCGTTTCACACTTTAGAGCGTTTACAGCCGTAGACCTCCTTTCAAGGTTTGAACTCCAGCCAGATTCGAAACGAGCCTCCTAGATATTAGACAGACATCCTAGATGAGGTTTCCCTTGTCTAAATGGGATAGGATGACACGGTGTACTTTGTTGTTTTGTTATATTTTCATGTTGTGTCATTCAGTATGATTTTTACGATTTGGTCATGTTTGAGTCCGTGCCCATCTGTGAAGAACGGATGATTTTGCCATCCATTTTTCCACAGTCTGACTTAGGTTACGTCCACACAAAGCCAGAGCTTTCCCTATCCGATCTTTTTTTTCCCCCCTCTTCTCAAGAAATATCTGCGTCCACACAAAACCACCAAACTGACACAAAACGATGTAGTATACATGCCAGACCAGTATGTGGCGCTGTAATTCTGCCACAGAGATACATTAAAAACAGAGAAGAAGACTTATGCGCATTAACCTTGCGCGCGGTATACAAACGAACATGGAACAATACATGTATTAATCTGTGTTAATGTTAGTTAATAAAAAGACAATCGTTGAGTGTTTGTTCATGTTTTTGTTGCTGTTACGTGATGTAGCGGTGCCTGACTAGGGGCGAGACATGGGCTGATGATGTCTTCGTTTCAGAAAATATACGGATTTGCTGTCCACACAAAAACGCAGGGGCGTCGTTTTCAGATTTATCCACTCTGGGACCCGGTTTCAAAAAAATATCGGTTTCACTCTCACAAAACGCCGGATCCGTGTGGACAAAACGCCTATACGATACAAAATATATGCGTATACAGCTAAATAGGGCTGCACAATTAATCGAATGCGATTGTCATGCGCATTTTGATAGTAATGTCGGTTCTGAAATCATCATCATCACGTGCTTTCAGATGGAGCAGAATTTACTACACATAGCCGTAGTTCACTGACAAGTTACGCAAAAAAAATCGCAGACAATTTTGTTGCGCGATTATGAAATCGTTCGCGATAATGACAGCTGTTTTTTGCATAGCTTCTCAGTTAACTACGGCTCTGTGAAGTAAATGCTGCTCCATCTGAAAGCATGTGAAAATACCACATTTAATAACACATTTCTACTCAACTCCCTTTATAACATCAGCATGACAATCGCAGCTTCTGTCGAATCGCGATCTTGATTCCATTTCGATTAGGGATGCACCGATATGAACATTTTGGCCGATACAATAACTGATAATTCTTTATTTTTGAAAGCCGATAACCGATATGTTGGCCGATAAATCTATATCCAAATTTTTATATACTTTTTGAGAGCCTGATTACAAAAAGTTCTCATCATTAAAACCCACATCCCAAACACTTCAACATAAGCAACCTAGTTTGAACAGTGTACGTTTTAAAAATAATTTTACACTCCCATTACCAAATTTTGTCATAAAAAAGTCTTACAAATAAATAAAATAATGCATAAATAATGCAAACAAGTCACTGGACATCATTACACGTGTAAAGAATCAAAATGAATGCGCCATAGATCAATAAAACGGAATAGCCTCTGCACGGACAATAATTAAATGATTTTAATTACTAAACCATATTTCATTAGAATGTTATATACACAACATTCCCAATCATAGTTATTAATGTTGTGCACTGCTGTTTGAGCTGTGTGCACTGAGCTAAAGATGTTCACCGGTAAACTGAAGCGCTCTTTTAACTTAACCAAAGGTATTCTATACGAGATAAATCAGATATACATCAAATAAACACAATAATACAACATACAATTGCACAAAAGGCTGCAAACGAGCAGCGCGAAACTAAAGTGTCTCTGAAGGAAATAATGCATTATTTATCGGCTTTAAGATATCGGCAACATTTTCTTATCGGGCCGATACCGATAACAGAAAAAATGAGCATTTATCGGCCGATACCGATATGGTGTCCGATATATCGTGCATCCCTAATTTCGATTTATCGTGCAGCCCTACAGCTAAACGTGTCTCCGTGTGGACGGGGCTTTATAATAATGCAAGACGGCCTACACACTTCCAAATGACAACAAACTTTTAATTTCTAAGAATATTTAGATCATGGAAATTAAGTATCAAACTATTAGATACCTTAAAAAACTTGAATAAATAGTAAATAAACATTTTCTAACAAAAAGTGCAAAGTAACAAGTACAAAAAAAGAAAAATGCACAAAGAACTTGTATGGAGATTTTTCCATCTACAGATGTTTCCCTGACCTTCTTTTCTCTGTAAATTAAGGGTGCACACTATTGCTGGAAAACACAATCAGTACTTAGCAGTAGGGCTGTGCGATTTGGGGGAAAATATCAAATTGCAAATTTTTTTTAAATGTATTTATTTATTTTTTTTGACAGAGATTGCGATTTGATTTGCGATTTTAAATTTGCAAAGTCAAGCTTCAGCTCAATATTGTCAATAATGTGCAGCACAGTATGGGTATCATTACCCTGCTGAAAAAAACAATAGAAACCATCACAGAAATTCTTATAGTTTCCATTAAACCATTACAAAATTCCTTTTTGTTTTGGGCATTATTCCAAAAGGAATTACTGTTGTTTTTTTAAATTTAGTTTGTGACTAAATCTTGTTGGATCCGCTCAAACTGTCAGTCAAACCTCATAACGCCACCCCCTGTCTTGACTGACTGAGTGCAGTGAACTGAAGTTCCACAGCAGAGCAGCTGAACATCTTGCAAGGGTAAATAAATATCTTCTTGTTTGTATAAGTACAGTGTTGTCTTTACGCAAGAAACACTAGTATGTCAACTGTATAAAGGCTCATGTTTTATGCATTTGAGGTCTGAGACCGGACCTGCGGAGAGAGGGCATTTGCCATCTAAATTAGTCATAGCCAATAGCCTACACTTAAATAGCCTGTGCATACAGTAGCATTTCATCTTTTATAAAATGACATTTTGGCCGAACTTATTTTACAACAGGAAAAACCGAGCGCCCATATAGCGACAACAAACTTTGTAACCTGTTGATCATAACGTAATGTGATGCTGCCGTTTTAATGATGGACAAATTGCACATTTGCACACACATTCGCTGGTCAAAAACCCGGCCATAACTGCATTTGAGTTTGACACAAAGCGACTGAGTGTTCCTCGTGAGCTAGGTAAAATATATTTCTAAGAAAATTCTTCTTTGATTTATCTATCAGCTATCTGCTGATACACTTAATTTAAAAACATTTAAATCATATTATATATGGTCACACTCACAGCATAGTTAATGTTTACGATGTTAATATGCATGTATTTGCTAGCTAGCTAATTTTTGAATGTAGTATTCTATACTCTCCGCTTATCATTAAGATTTAACCAGTAAAAAAAAGGGGGGGGTGCTCATTTTCAGTTTCAGCACATGCCCCTCAAATGGTCTGTGCACGGCCCTGATTACATATGTTACATAGGCTGATTTATTCATTTTAAGTATTTGGGATTTTAAGAGCAAGTGGAAAATGTGCTGAATGTTTCATTTCATCCAAGTGAAATTAGCAAGCAGTTAGACTGAATTTACACTTGTTTTAAACGCAGAGCCAGGCGCGAGTCGACACAGGGCTGCGCGCGAGCGTCAAGCCTCATCCATACTGCCAGATGCGCTCCTGAAGACTTGCGGTGCGGAGCCGGGTGTGAGTATAAACGAGCATTACGAGACAGGCTGCGTGAGTGCGGCAAGCATGAACGGCTCGTCGTTGACTCGGGATTCGCGTCGCGTGGGGCAGAGAGGAGCGAGTATGAGAAGCATTCACAGACACAGGCTGTGTGTGCACTCTTCTGAATTGGGAATAGCCAACATGCATTATAAACTTATTTCAAATTAATCTGTTGGGGAGATAAAATGTGTAAGATAACGTTCAAAATCATTCTAATATGCTGATTTGCTGCTTAAATATTTCCTATCAGTGTTAAAAAACAGTTGAGAAGCTTATATTTGTGGAAACCAGGATGCAGTTTTGAGGGTTCTTTGATGGATTGAAATCTTTTAGCATTTATAGAAACATTTTGTAACATTATAAATGCCTTTACTGTCACTTTTGATCAATTTAATGCATCCTTGATGAATACAAGTATTAATTTCTTTCAAAAACAGATCTTACTGACCCCAAAATTTTGAACTGAATTTGGATATCATATTTTGTGTAGGTGAACTCTGGAGAGGAGTTAATTTGGCTGCTTGGTAAATGTATTACGCTGACCTTCAGGATTTCACTTTTCAATGAATAGATTTTACAATCATGAAACACTGTGGACATTATGTATGAAAGTATGCTTAATATTTCATGCGTCAGAATGTTGTTTTTGTTTTTGAACGTACACAGAGGTGAATTATGATAGAAAAGGCAGCATACACTTATTTCTCTCTGTGAGTGAGTTTTGTTCTCAAGTACATCAAGTAATTGTTGAAATGTAAGTATCCTACTATGAAATACTGTACTTGAATGCAACATAAGTATTTAAATTGCATTAATCTTTAACCTGGAGGAGAACAGGATGAAGTCTCATTGCAGTGCAGCCATTATAAGGATGTTCATTTAATTAACATTTACTTGTTAATATTTAAAAAAAAAAAGTTAAAAACACAAAGTGAAAATAAATGTTTAAGGACACACACAAGAATATTATCAACTAGAATTGTGATCGCTTGTTGGTGATGAAGTTAAGCTTCTAAAAGCAAAATAAAGTCTTAGGTCTGTATTTTTAAATTTCAAGTGTTGGCAAGCGATGTTTAAATCAGTCAGATTGTCTATGCGAAAGACTACATTTTAAGCTGATGCAATTAATATAGTTCCATGTTCTGCAAATATCAGAATTGAATGCTGGAAGCTTGGTGTATTTTTGTTGTCCATCAGTGTTTGTGCACTGCAGTTGTTATTTGTTAGTTTACAACCAAATGACTTGTATTCCAACTCCAATATTTACGTGACCCCCTCATCTTGGATTTCTATGCTCCAGCGTTCATCTCATTGCAAGTCAAGCTGGACCTCTCCTCTCATGTCATTAAGCCCTGTGTCATTCATTCGGTGCCAATATTGCCGTCTTTTTCCGAAAAAAGGAAAAGCTGGCTTGGCCGAGGCTCAAGCAGAGCTACAGCTGCGATGTGTTAAATATTCGGCAGACTGCCCTCCATTTGAAATGAGTTATATATATATATATATATATGTATATAGCACTGTTGACTTCCTTAACTAAGGCTGTGCAAGGTAACGTTCAGGTTAATAACCGTGGGAATCAGCAGCAGAGGGTTATTTACTGTCTCTCTTTTTCCTTCTCCTTTTACCACTATAATTTCCCCCCTCTGGCTGTTCTCTCTCTTCTTCTCTTGTGGTTTCTTGCATTTTTATTCTGTCCTTGCTATTCTTTAATTTCCACCCTGGCTTTTTAAAATCATATTCTCCAGTGTGGGAGCTCAGTAGTACAGAATAATAGTTTGATTGAATGGTTTTGGAAAATGTGTCCTTGAGTTTTTAAAAAGCTTTGTAGATGTCTTTGTGTGAAACTCAGTTTATGCTTTTCTGTCATTATCTGTGAGATACCTTTGCTCAAACCACTTTGTCGCTCTCGTTCCACAGACTCCAGGCTCCATGGATCAACTGGGGAAAATGCGCGGTCAGTCTTATGGGTCGGGCGGGCCTTACTCCCAGCAGCCCCATCAAGGGCCTCCTCCAGCACCCCAGCAGAGTCCTGCTTACCCAGGCCAGGGCTATGGGCCCCCTGGCCCTCAGAGATACCCTATGGGCATGCAAGGACGTATGCAATACGGCCAGCAGGTCAGTGATCTTTCTCAGCATTTTAAGGGGTTCACCGTTTGAATATGCTGAACTGTTGTAGTTAAATGAGTGAATATCCTGGTAATTATAAGTTGTGAAGCTAGTAATGATTTTTTTTGGTAACCTATTGCAATGTGTTTTCTCATTTAATTAGAGGTAGGGGGAAAATACACGATCGTGTTGCAGTGTTCTTTTAGTGCTGGCATCGATGTCATTTTTTTTTAGCATGCTTTTTAAGATTTTAAAGTTAGTTTAGCAGTATAGATACACAGATACTGTTTTCAAGGTAAAAAAAAATCATTTTGTGTAAAGTCAGGTTGCTAATAGTTTAAGATGAAATTGCAGTCAAATTAAGGTTTATTAACACTGATGCAGTAAGAAAATTCTATAGTAATACATTTTTATTAACAATTCAAGATGTTACAGTCAGCCCATTATTTTCTTTGACCTTAGCCTGTAATTCTATAATTTAAAAAAAATTGTTTATGCTGTTGAATGTATGCTTACATTCAACATTGTTTTACAATGTGGTTACGCCTGAATATCTTATGTTTAACTTTCTTGTGAAAAAAAAATGAATACGAATTACATTAATTTGAAGTAAAAAGATTTTTTGGGGCTTTCATTTTTGGGTTAAATCACTGTGTATCATAGTGTTTGGTTACAAAGCTTGACAAAAATGGCAACGTGTAGCATATGTGTCTCAACTATCATGGGATCTTTAGCCTTTCCTAGCCTTAATAAATAATTACAAATGTGATGCTGGACAAGGTCACACTTTCTGGTACAATAACTAAATTTTATCCTTGTCTTATTATTTAGGGAATAGGAAGGATAAAAAGTTGTTAGGCTATGTACAGGTATATTGTGTACAGGTTATAAATAAAACTCATCTAATCTCTTTTAGCAATAAACTTTCTGTCCCAGTTTTAATCTTAAATATTATTTATGTGAGCTCATATTAACAATAACATGGAATTTTAAAATTAGAATTGTCAGTGCTTAGAAGAGTCATGGAAATTTCTGATGTTGAAATATCAGTTTTCTATTAACATTGAGTGCTAAAACCTTGAGCAATGCACTGTTTTAAATCTCAGGACGATTTTACTTTGTTACTGATAACATTTAGTACATTTTTAAAAAGCAGCAGATTAAAACTATGAATTCTCATCCTTTAATCAAGAACGAACTGGAAAAGTAATGGAAATTCAAGAAGTCTACTTTTATAAGGCTTAATGCAACACAGATTGCTTCAAAGCAGCTATACAGTAATGAACAGGAAAAACCGTGTCAGTGTCACAAATACATTTGTCGAAAGAAGTGGGAGCCTTGTCTATGGCATGTCAATAAAAAAAGAACTGTTTCTTTTTTGTCTATTTACCCACATGATATAAATAAGTGTGGGAAATACCATGAGTGTAATGATCTTTGGTGCCATCCTACTTGTTTGCACAGGTGCCATCATATGGACAGCAGGGACCAGGGGGTTATGTGCAGCAGGGGCAGCAGCCCTATTACGGCCAGCATGGTCAGGGTCCTCACTCGGGCCAGCAGCAGTCGCCATACCCCGGGCCTTCCCCAGGGCAACCAGGAGGTCAGGGACCTTATTCACAGCAACCTCATGGCCCCCAGTCATCTGGCCCACACGGACAGGCTGGTCCTCCTTACCAACAACCCCACATGCCCCAGCAGCCACAGGGGCAGATGACTGGCCCTTCGCCGGGCCCGCCGCAGTCCCCATACTCTCAGTCCTCGGCGCCACCCCAGGCCAGCCAGTCTCCCTATCCACAGCAACAGGTGCCTCAGTCCCAGCCCTCGCAGCAGGGGAGCTCCCAGGCTCCTCCTGCATCCCAACCCAGTTACCCGCCTGGCCAAGGCCCCCAACAACAACCGCAGCAGCCGCCACCGCCAACATCACAGCCCCCCCCTCCTAGATGAGATAAATAAGGCCAGCAGCCTCTGGCTGTGTGATTGTATGTGTACGAGAGCACTTGAGTGTGTGTGTGTGTCCCAGAGAGGAAAAAAAAACTGTGCCAGAGTTCATTGTTGCCGAGTGGAGGAAGCTGTCACCGGAAGATTTATTCTAAAGAACAAGAAAAGTTTTTGTGGTATAATTAAATTTTGCTATTGTGCTGCTGATTTAATTTGAAATTTTCTATTATTTTTTTTTTCACATACTGTGATTTTATTTATATATATATAATGTATGTATGTATGTATATGTGTTGTTTTTTTTTGTTTTTTTTTTAGAGTGAGCTTTTGGGCTTATTTTCAGTACAGAATATCTATCTTGCCTTGGCCTAACAATTAAGCAACGAACCTTATCCAGAGCCTGCAAGACATACTTGTGATTCCAAATGTGGATTTATTTTTTAGAAATATTCTTTAATATCTGTGAAAGCTGAATGTTGCTGATTGGATAGGAAAATGTTAGTAAAATAAAAATAATGCCATGAAGAGTTCTTTGAGACAGCTGACAGCTTCATTTTTAAATCCCTAGCAGAAATGCTGGAATACCAAATGATAACACCAGCTGAGCTTGTTTTTTTTCCCGTTTTCTCTTCTATTTGTATTTTTGTCTTTCTATGGGAACACAGATTATTTTTTCCCAATTACGTTCATATTTGCAGTGCATGAAATGGAAATAACATGCATTTTCTAAATGAATGTTATTGGTCTTACTGTGACAGATTTCATTTTTCAAAATACATTTTTTTGAATTCTTAACATCATAATGAGACTTCTCTCTGGTGACACTTGCCAGACTCCAACCATTTAGTCAGCTTAAACCGGAGCTTGCATTCAGATCTGCCATTCATCTAATGAACCATCATTGGATAGTCTCCACCCTACTTTTTTTCTTCTTTTCCAAAAAATCGGAGGACAAGATACTACTTCCGCTACATTACGACTTCATCAGATTTTTCTAACCTTCTCTCTACGGTTCTCTTTGCTTAGGACCTATCCGGTTCAATCGATGACCTGCCTACTGGTACGGAGGGCGCTTTGAGCCCTGGAGTCAGCACATCTGGAGTATCCAGCAGTCAAGGAGAACAGAGCAATCCAGCACAGTCACCCTTCTCCCCTCACACTTCTCCCCCGGTGGGCTCTCCTGCCAGCGCCTCAGCATCTCGTTCTGGGCCACTGTCCCCTGCCACGATGCCAGGTAGGGCTAGTACTCCTTAAATTATTTTGAAATGTGTTCATGCTACTTTATGGGACAGTCATCAGGAAGATGGTTTGGAATGGTTACAAATATTAAATATTAAGAATATTTTGTGGCACAAATTGCAATTTTTTTTTTGACCATATGGCATGAGTTTGTGGTTTGACTACCACTTTATCCTCACTAATGGAAGATGGTGGAGTGCTTGAAACATTTAAATTTAATCTATTTTCATTTCAAATCAGTTACTTCAAGTTATAGAATGTGATTATTTTTTACAACTTTTATTTGATTTTTATTTTAGTTTAACCACATTATTTGAATTTCTCATTTTTAGGAAACCAGATGCCTCCCCGCCCTTCAAGTGGACAGTCTGATGGAATGATGCAACCTTCAATGAATCAACCTGGCATTGGCCAAGAAAGAGGTAACTCAGTCTGTATAATTTGAAAAAGACAGGACTTGTTTTCCATCCTGATGCTCTCTTTTTTATTTATTGTATCAATACATTAATCTTGTTGTCTGCACAGGATATATGCAGAGAAACCCTCAGATGGCACCCTATGGGTCTCCACAGTCTAGCTCTGCGTTGTCTCCTCGTCAGTCATCTGGAGGCCAGGTGCATGCTGGAATGGTCCCTTATCAGCAGAACAACTCGATGGCAAACTATGGGCCTCAAGGTGGTCAATATGGCCCACAGGGTAAGTGGCTCAGTGGTAACAACTGACTATAATTTAATGCAAAACGCATCTTATTTAGAACAATTTAAGAAAAATGTACATTTAAAAAATGGGTCCCTTGTTGAGAGAAGTTACTGTAGTGGAGGTGCAGATATTGGGCTTTTATCTTTCTCTTCTTGCTGTCCCTCCAAATCCTTCTCACTCTCCCTCTTTTTCTCTCTGTGCGACCAGTGGATCACAGTGTGGTTATTTTTAGCCTCAATGAAAAAAAGAAAGTTGACGTAGCATGGCTCACGTCAGTTGAGCAGCTACAGAGGCTGTGGGTTACAGCAGCGCTACATGCTGCTAAACAATCAAGGGCCTGGAAGTCTCTTAACAAGCCCACCAATGAGGGAACCATACCCCAAAACATTCGGCCAATGCTAATTGTTAATTGCTAATACTGTTGTGGTGTTCAGACTTTTTGTTTCATTCCCAAATTGTAGTACTGAATAAGATTTCTTATTAAATGTTTTATTTCTCTCTTCAGAAAGATGCAGCATAAGCAATATGCTGTTTTGATTAACTTAACTGCTTTTATTGTCATTGTATAACTATTATTAATATAGCATTATGTAGGTTTGTTTTGCATTTCTATGCATGCATGTATTTTAAAACAGTACTGTACTTTTTTCACAATCGTGGAAACTTTGTATCAAATTACAACTTCCTGTCTTCCTCTTCAGGTTACCCCAGGCAGCCTGGTTACAGTGGCATGCCTAATGCCAATTACCCAGGCCCTGGCATGGGCGGAACCATGAACCCTATGTCTGGACAAGGAGGAGGGCCAATGTTTGCTGGCATGCCGGCTGGAAGGATGCCTCATGGACAGATGGTTGCACGTCCCTATGGCCCCAATATGGGTCCCAACATGAGTCCCAATATGGGTCCTAATATGGGCAGCATGCCCCCTCAAGTGGGAACCGGGATGTGCCCACCTCCAGGCCTCAACAGAAAGCCACAGGATGCTGCAACAATGCAGCACGGACCTGCCAACTCGATACACAACAGGTACACAAGAACTGAAATACAAATGAAGTTGTGCATTATCATTGTTCTGTCGGGTCCAGTCAGGTAGTTTGAAGTTAAATGTGTTTTGCCTCACAGGCTACCAGGTTTCCCCAGTATGTCTCCTGGTCCCGGTATGACGGGCTCAGGACCTCCATATGGCCCTTCCATGAACAACATGCCTGGGATGATGAATACCCAGGGTTCACCCTACCCTATGGGTGGTAACATGGCTAACAACACTAGTGGTAAGATAGTAAAAAATCTGTTTTTGTATGGTACAAAAAAAAAAAGAACCCAGCTGAAGTCATTTTTACCTGCCTGGTCACATTCATGGTTAATGTATCTGTTTTTCTCTTAGGCATGTCCCCTGGTCCGGACTTTGGTATGGATGGGAAACTTAACCAAACCCAGAAAATTAATAACAAAGTTGAGGGGACGCCCAAGACAGAATCAAAATCCAAGGTTTGCTTAACATTTAGATAGAAGTGTAATGTCTTTACAGCAGAAATCAGTCATCCTTTGTTGCACTTCCTGTGTAATTCCTTTTATATAAACTGCTTCTGCCTAGAAGTCAAGTTCCTCCACAACAACCAATGAGAAGATCACTCGGTTGTATGAGCTAGGCCCAGAGCCAGAAAGAAAGATGTGGGTAGACCGTTACTTGGCTTTCATAGAAGAGAAAGCCATGGGCATGAGTAACCTACCAGCTGTGGGACGTAAACCCCTTGATCTCTTCCGCCTCTACATGTCCGTCAAGAACCCAGCTGAAGTCATTTTTACCTGCCTGGTCACATTCATGGTTAATGTATCTGTTTTTCTCTTAGGCATGTCCCCTGGTCTGGACTTTGGTATGGATGGGAAACTTAACCAAACCCAGAAAATTAATAACAAAGTTGAGGGGACGCCCAAGACAGAATCAAAATCCAAGGTTTGCTTAACATTTAGATAGAAGTGTAATGTCTTTACAGCAGAAATCAGTCATCCTTTGTTGCACTTCCTGTGTAATTCCTTTTATATAAACTGCTTCTGCCTAGAAGTCAAGTTCCTCCACAACAACCAATGAGAAGATCACTCGGTTGTATGAGCTAGGCCCAGAGCCAGAAAGAAAGATGTGGGTAGACCGTTACTTGGCTTTCATAGAAGAGAAAGCCATGGGCATGAGTAACCTACCAGCTGTGGGACGTAAACCCCTTGATCTCTTCCGCCTCTACATGTCCGTCAAGGAGATTGGAGGACTTACACAGGTATATATGCAAGTTGTCCATACACATTAAGATAATGTTGAAGGTCTCGACTCATTTTCTCTCAAGGGTGTTTGCTTATATCCTTTGGCGTCCTTGTAAATGCAGGTTAATAAGAACAAAAAATGGAGAGAGCTGTCCACAAATCTGAACGTGGGGACCTCCAGCAGTGCTGCCAGCTCTCTGAAAAAGCAGTACATTCAATGTCTGTATGCTTTTGAATGTAAGATTGAGCGTGGAGAAGACCCACCACCTGACATTATGTCTGGAGATAGCAAAAAGAACCAGGCCAAGATTCAGCCTCCCTCCCCAGGTGAGTTCGGCGTCTTGGATCTTAAAGAGCAGGTCATATGGGTTTTTGAAAAATATCTCTTTTGCAGTTTATAACATAGCTATCCTTAAATGAAAACACTCTGCAAAGTTGTTAATCAAAAAAGTGCATGATAAAATAAAGATATTGTCTCTCAAAAGAGAGAGTCGGTTCTGAATAGCCAAAAACGAGTCGTCATATTTTCGAATCTTTTGCCTGTCACCGGTATACGTCACTGGGTAACACATTTGCATAATCCCAGACTGCCCGCGAAATACGAACAGAGTCTGACCTGCCCACAAACACTTCCGCTAGACTAGTTAGTGTGTTTACATCATGTTGAGAAGTCGCTGTGTTCAAGGATACCACAGAAATACAATTCAAACCTTTTGTTGTATGCATGTCATTTTACCAAGGACTGCTTCTCTAATCTTGGCTTTTATCTTCGTTGGCTTCTTCTATCTTCTTAATTTGGACTAACAAGCTCT